CTTTATTCCCTCTCCTAAAAAGGAGAGATATTTCTTTTAAGTTCAAGAAATAGGGTGGGTATATAGCGGGATAAAGAATAGAATGAGTGGTGTTATTCATATTAGTAAGTTAATCTGTTAGTACTCAAAGCTCTAAGTCCATAGAGTCCATCCATCTTCGGTCGTCCTTCTGTTAGTCAATGTTAAACAAAATGTTTAATTTGTTAGTAGTGTCCTTCTGGTGTGGATTTTTTCCAAGTATAATCCGAAAAATAAAATCGAAGTTTTTTTTTAAACTTTGGGGTTCTTTCCTTTTTTGTCTCTCAAATTGTATTTTAGTCCAATCGCTCCTTCATCTTCATCGTCTTTCACCTCTCCCTCTGAGCTGCTGTCGTCCACGCTTACTGTTGACATCCACTTGGCTAGTTCTGTTCCCTCTTCTGTACTAGCATGTCTTTTCAAGAATTCTTGGGCCTTAAAGATAGAGTCAATTTTTTTCTCTTTTGTCTTTGAACTTGAACGTCAGCCCTTCGGGTATCAGCCATTTATATCCTGTTTGATGGTTTTGCAAGAAGGTGGTCAATCCCTTGTATTCCTTTCTTTTCATTCTAATTTCAAATGGAACATCTTTCAAAATTCTGATTGGTTGGTCTCCAATTTTCAGGGGTGACGCAGATGTAGTCCTTAAAATTTGGTCCCTGAGACGTTGTTTAGTAAATTTTACGACCACTTCAGCTGGCAACTTATTTTTTCTCGTAAAGTTGGTGTAGGCCCGATAGGCCAGATCCATCTCTTCCTTTATTTTTTCCGCTTCGTTGCCAAGGGGTGTGTGTGTGCCCCGATGGTACCAATAACAACACCCATCACGACACCAGTAATCACAGCATCCTCCGCTGAAAATCCACATTATTGAAGGCAAGTGTGGAAGAAAATAAACCGACTCCGCTAGTGTGAAAAAGCAGAGGAAAGGCAGATCCTGACCAAACCGATTCCAGTGCTTATTGATTTTAATCATCAATATTATTATTGATTCCCGGAAATCCCCCGGAAATCAGGAGTAACCTGAGCAGGTGGAAAAGTTCCTAACTGGGGCCTGGGAAATTTCCTGCTGAGTGTTTTTGCTTCCACAGAAGCAGTGGGACTATCCTGTGGTCCTTCCCTTCTGCAGCCCCTTGGAGAAGAGTGGGTCATTTGGAAAGCCAGTATTCTCTAATCTGGGAGAACCGGGTTTGATTCCCCACTCCTCCACTTGCACCTCGCTGGATGACCTTGGGCAAGCCTTAGCTCTGATAAGAGCTGTTCTTGGAAAAAGAGCAGTTTCTGTCAGAGCTCTCTCAGCCCCGCCTACCTCACAGGGTGTCTGTTGTGGGGAGGGGAAGGGGAAGGAGTTTGTAAGCCGCTCTGAGACACCTTTGGGTAGTGAAGGGCGGGGTATAAATCCAAACTCTTCTTCTCTTCTTCTTCATTTGAGAAGGATATGGGTGTCCCCCTTTTCCTGTCAAGGCTCACGGTGCTTTTAACTGGTGCTTGTGACGGGCATTCAACAGGGGCGAGCTTGTCTCACCCTTGGAGACAAAGGGGAAGAAAGCTTCCTCTGTTGAATTCCGGCCTGTTACGTAGTATCTTTAAAAGGCTCAGGATTCCCGCTCCGCACCTCTAACTGCTGCTGGTGGGCAACCATAGAAATTAATTTCAAATGACCAATATCTTCAGTGTTTATAGTGTGGGGGCAAGCAGAGAACAAGAGATGTGGGACTTTAAGACGGGGGGAAAACATTTATTACATTTAGAACAGTTCTATCCCACACATTTAACAGAAAATTCATATAGAAGCAGATCATTTGCATCTTCAGGAAGGGGAGTGTTGTTGTTGTTGTTCAGTCGCACAGTCGAGTCCGACTCTTCGCGACCCCATGGACAAGATCTCGCCAGGCCCTCCTGTCTTCCGCCGTCCTCTGAAGTTTGCTCAATTTCATGTTCGTTGCATCTATGACACTGTCTAACCATTTCATCCTTTGCCGTCCCATCTTCTTTGACCTTCAATCTTTCCCAGCATCAGGGTCTTCTCCAGTGAGTGCTTCCTTCTCATTTGGTGGCCAAAGGTAAAGGTTCCCTTGCTCAAAAGCCAGTCGAGTCCGACTCTATGGTTGTGGTGCTCATCTCCGTTTCAAAGCCGAAGAGCCAGCGCTGTCCGAAGACGTTTCCGTGGTCATGTGGCCGGCATGACTAAACACCAAGGCGCACGGAACGCTGTTACCTTCCCACTGAAGTGGTACCTATTTATCTACTTCCAATGTCTTGCTTTCGAACTGCTAGGTTGGCAGGAGCTGGAACTAGAGATGGGAGCTCACTCCATCACGTGGCACACTCGGGTCTCGAACTGCTGAACTACCGACCTTCCACAGTCTACAGTTCAGCGTCTTAACCACTTGAGCCACCGCAGCTAGTTGGCTAGATGAAAGCAAAAACGAGAGAGAAAGGGGGCAACAGCAGAGAATGGGGAGGAGGGGCGTGATGGATGATTACCTTACACAGAAATTATTAACGTATCCCTATGTACTGATTCCTAAAGCATTTTGAAACAAGATATTTCCTCAGGGGCATTGCATGTTCTTAACCTATCAAATATAAATATGCTGAAGGAAATCTATCAATATCTGCCCACACTTGAAGAGTGCCCACTTGCACATAGTCAAAACGTATAATGTGTATCTTTTACATCCACATTTTCAAACAGGAGGGGACAGCAATAAAGTAATAATAAATGTATGTGGCTATCTGCATGCACTTATGAATTGCTATTTTTGAGTGAGCGGAAGCCCAAGTTCATCAGGATTGCTGGAAGCTTACTTACAGTCCTCCTTTTGCCTAGGCCAAAAAAACTTCCCTGTGGCCGCGCTGAAATCCCACCCCGAATATACCGTTGGGAAGCTACGAAATCTTGGGATCCCCGAATTCTATGATTATGACGTTGCCTTGTTGACACTCAAAGACAAAATCACGTTTAGCGCTGAAGCAAGGTGAGATGGAGGGGAAGTCAGAATAATGGCAGAGAAAGTTAGGGATGCCAGCCTCCAGGTGGGACCTGGGGATCCCCTGGAATTACAGCTCATCACAAGACTACAGAGATCAGTTCCCCTGGAGAAAGTGGCTGCTTTGGAGGGTGGACTTTGTGACATTGGTCCCCGCTTAGGTCCTTGTCCTCCCCAAGCTCCATCCCCAAATCTCCAGGAATTTCCCAACCTGGATCTGGCAACCCCACAACCATCCCCCATTGGGAGAGACCTGGCAACCCTATCTGACTCCAACAATGTGAGGAGAACCCCACTTGGAAGAAAGCCCGAGTTTTAGCAGACAATATTATGGACAACCCACCTCATTTCTCTCTGCTCCCTCACAGGCCGATCTGCTTGCCGTGCACAGCAGGAACCACGCGTGCTCTGAGGAGGCCCCATCCACAGACGACCTGCAGGGAACATGGTGAGCCTTCCGCTTTGCAGATGCCTAGCCTGTGGCGGGAGACGCTACAACTAGCACACGAGGGGTAGAGGGCATTCTAGCACATGAGAGTGAAAATCCAGGTACCTCCTGGGCAGAGCTCCAAGGACACGGCCTCCACTGACCTCTGCCCCCCCACTCAGCCTGTTGTGTTCTTTCTAGGGTTGCCAGCCTCCAGGTGGGGCCTGGGGATCTCCCGCTTTTGCAACTGATCTCCAGCCGACAGAAAATGGCTGCTTTGAGGGGTGGACTCTGTGGCCTTGTACCATGCCGAGGCCCCTCCCCTCCCCAAACCCCGCTCTCTCCTGGATCCACTCCCAAAGTCCCCAGGTATTTTCCAGCCCAGACCTGGCTACCCTAGTTCTTTCACATCAACACGCAATCATTGATGATTGTTTTCGGACACTGTTTGTTCCTTATGTTACATAGATGCCGATCCTTGTTCAGTCATTATGATTTTGGTGCTCCAACCTCGTGCGATAGGTGGGTGTGCTACCAGCGATGGCCCCCTCCCCAAGAGCAATGGATGTATTTTCCTGCATCAAATGTAAACTCTCAAAATAAAAATAAAAATCTGGGTTTCCTGTAGCACTGCCAAAGCTGGAAAAGTTGTGCGCTGCCCTGTTTGCCCAAAACGGTCAATTGGTATATCAAGAGGATATCATATATCATATCATATCATACCATGATCTCCCTTTATGCATGGGAGGGCTGCCCAAACTGTAAGAACTGAACAGGGCTTCTATATCTCTGAAATATCAAGCTGGGTTCTTTTTGTAGCAGGAACTCCTTTTCATATTAGGCGACACACCCCTAATGTAGCCAATCCTCCAACAGCTTACAGTAGCCCCTGTAAGCTCTTGGAGGATTGGCTACATTACAGGTGTGTTGCCTAATATGCAAAGGAGTTCCTGGTACAAAAAGAGCCCTGGCCCTAGTATAAGAGTTGCCCACTCTGGGTTGGGAAATACCTGGAGATTTGGGAGGGTGGGGGTTTGGGGAGGGGAGGGACCTCAGTGGGGCATAATGCCACAGAGTCCACCTTCCAAAGGGGCCATTTTCTCCAGGGGAACTGATCTCTGTCGACCGGAGATCAGTTGTAGTCCCAGGAGAGCTCCAGCCACCACCTGGAGATTGACAACCCTATCTGGTAGCCTGCAAATGATGTCTTTCTTTAGCTATTGATACCCCACCCCAACCCCCCAAAGTGACTTAATGTCATTCTCTCCTCTTCCATTTTGGTGTAGTGGTTAGGAGAATCTTAGGATACATTAACAGAAGCATTGTGTCCAGATCACGGGAGGTGGCAGTTCTGCTCTATTCTGCTGTGGTCAGGCCTCACCTGGTGTACTGTGTCCAGTTTTGGGCACCACGTTTTAGGAAGGATGTTGACAAGCTCGAGCGTGTCCAGAAGAGGGCAACCAGAATGGTGAGAGGGTTGGAATCCAAGCCTTATGAGGAAAGGCTGAAAGAGTTGGGTCTGTTTAGCCTGGGAAAGAGAAGGCTTAGAGGGGACATGATTGCAGTCTTCAGGTATTTGAAGGGCTGTCATGTAGAAGATGGAGCAGATCTATTCTCTCTTGCTCCGGATTGCAAGACTAGATCTAATGGGTGGAAATTTCAAGGGAGTCGTTACCGGCTAAATGTCAGGAGAAACTTCCTAACTGTAAGAGTGGTTGAGCAGTGGAACAGTCTGCCTCGGGAGGAGGTGGTGGATGCTCCATCGCTGGACGTTTTCAAGTGGAGGCTGGATGACCATCTTTCGGGTATGTTGTAGGTATGTAGGGCTATCTTTGATGATGGTGACATCTGGGGTCTGGGGGGACATTTGGGGTCTGAAACGCAAAACTTAACGTAAGCCACTTGGAGTTCATAGGACGGAGCAGAATATCAGTCATATAAATGTGAGGCATGCCTAGGTAGGCCACCGTGTGACAGTTCCTCTAGGCCTTGTCAGTTATACCCTAATAGTCACCTCTGATGGTGTTCATTACTTTCACCAGAGCAAGAACTGATGTCTTTTGGGAACATCCCAGCCCTCTTCCTCACTCCCTGTCGGGAAAAGCACGAGAACACAGTGGGGCTGCGTCGCAGAACTGTGCGGATCAAGAATAGTGACAAGGTGGGGACGGCATCTCGGCAAGCGTTTTGTGCAAAGAAGTCCTAGCGGGGCACAACAAAGGCCCTTGTGTACTAAGCAGTCAATGCTGTTGCAGTGTTAATGGCCAATGATTTGGGTCAGGAAATTATTCCAACGTATTCCGTGTTAACTTAGCAGAGTATATTAGGCTGTAAGCACAGCACAAGCCGTGTGGTCAGCTGGGCTGCGCGTGTGCAGGTATGGAAACAAAAGGGACACGGAGACTTCCTCAGATTTCAAACTAATAAGGAGTTTATTATATGAACTCCATTTGCTGGGCAGGAAAGATGAGAGACAGCCTGTCTCATCCAATCTAACTAGCTGGAGGTGCAGAGACGCAAGAGACGTGTGTCCTGCTCTCATGGTGCCAAGATGGAGAGCCTGGCAATCAATGCTCCCTCTAAGCTGTATAGTCTTGTGAGCAAAAATTCTACTTTGTGAGCTACTGGCATTAAAATTGTGAGCAAGTGATTTGGCTGCTGCATAAATTAGTCTGCTCCTGAGCTAAAACAAAAATGTGTGAGCTGGAGGCTAAAAAACTGTGAGCTAGCTCACACTAACTCAGCTTAGAGGGAACAATGTGTATCTGAAGTGACTCTTATTCAAATTGCCTCTGAAATACAGGCTGCTTGGGAGCAACTCAAATCGAAGCCTGTTGCTCCAGAACCAGTCTTTGGACCGGGCACCACTGCATGTCATCCTGCAGGGGGCAGTCTGCAGAATGTGGGGATGTGTCATTTGGGGTGGTCCAAAGAGTGTTTTGGGGTGCATTGTGGCCCAAGTGTCTGCCTGTGTGATTGTCCTAGGGGCATCCCACTTTGGAGCAGCTGGCACAAGAACCGCACTTTGGACCAGGAAACAGGATATCTCCTCTTGAAGGGGAGACTCCTTTGAACCTGGGGGTGTATGAAGTGTCCAGGCCTTATTTTGGGGTTCAGAGCTTTCAAACTCTCCTCCGTGTTTTTGGATGAATTCATGAATAAGTCGCAAATAAGGAATGGGTAAGGAACTGGAAATAAGGAACCAACTTCAGCCTCGTTCAAGCCGGAAGGAAGGAACTTTCCCCAAGAGTGGCAATCGACACTTCAAAGGGGTATCAGTAGAGAAGAAAGGAAGGATGCTCTGTGTCCTGTCCCCATCTATCTCTCCGACCCATTGGTAGCCCCCTCTGAAGACTGAGGCCAAGAGACAGCGTAAAGGCCTCGAGTTCTAATGATCCATTCTAAGGGAGTGAACCCTCAATGGAGTTTCCAAACTTAGGCTCGGTTCAGATGTCACGCCAACCCCTGGTTTAATCAAACTAATTATGGTGAGCGTGATTGTCTGACTACAGGCCACGCCACTCACTATGCTTAAGGTCTGTCAAACCACAAGTTAAAACCAGGCCTATTTTTGGGCAGGAACACACAGGAACGGAGTTCCGGCTGGCTCCTGAGTTGGCCACGCCCAGCAGGAACTCATTAGCATAATAGGCCACATCCAACAGCAGAAACTCATTAGGATTGGCTACATTAGGGGTGTGGCCTAACATGCAAAGGAGTTCCTGCTACAAAAAAAGCCCTGGTTTGACAACAGGATAAACAGAATAAGAAGCAAAATGTGGGTGTGGCTGGATGACTACACTTTTGGTAACATGGGGGTGTGGCCTAATATGCTAATGAGTTGTATTGTCAGGGGGGTGACCCAATATGCTAATGAGTTTCAGCTGTTGGGTGTGGTCTATTATGCTAATGAGTTCCTGCTGGACTTTTTCTACAAAAAGAGCCCTGGAACAGTGGTTAGAAACTGTTTTATTATCGTTAGTCTGAATCCCCTAGGAGGTTTCACTTCCCTTAGGCTTCCAAACTGTAGCAGGATATTTTTTCCGGGACCGTCCACATGATGTCATCCTCTAATTCAGGGGTCCCCAACCCTTTTTTGAGCCTGTGGCAATTTGTAATTCTGGCACAGGATGGTGGGCGCAGTCACAAAATGGCCGCTGCAGTAGGCGGAGCCAACAGCAATGTCAGGCAGTGAGGTCGTGCATAACTCTAATAATAATTCTTTGGCATGCCTTTGAAAATGAACATAGTGTTGAAAATATTTTCCTGCATAGAAACAGCTTACCTTCAGTAACACATGAATATTCACGTTCTGTTGACAGGCCCCATGGGGTCCATAGGCCTCATGTTGGGGACCCCTGCTCTATCAGTTCAGTTGCCAGGCCTTCCTGTCCTTGGTATGTTTGCTATAATCTTTCTTGAAAGAACAAGCCATCTGGACAGGATGGTGCATATTTTAGAAGGTCTCGCCCACCCTGCCACCATTTCCCTTGTTTCAGCCTCTACAGTTACCATTTCCTCCCTGTACTATGGAGGTATTTTCCAGGCTTGAAAAAAGATCTATAATTGCTTTTGCTATTTCAAAAAGCTGGAAATTCAGCGGAACTAGTATATCATGGCAATACGGGCCTTGATGGTGCTGAGAGCCAGTTTGGTGTAGTGGTTAAGAGTAGCGGACTCTAATCTGGAGAATCAGGTTTGATTCCCCACTCCTCCTCCACATGCAGCCAACTGGGTGACCTTGGGTCAGTCATGGCTCTCTCAGAGCTGTTCTCTTAAGATCAGTTCTCTCAGGGCTCTCTCAGCCCCACCTACCTCACAGGGTGTTTATTATTTATTATTATTATTAATATAATTTATCTAAAATATTTATTAGCTCCAGGCAGCTTATAGCATAGATAAAACACATAAAATAAAATAAATTTTAAAAAATTAAAACCAAGATTTAAAATCACTCTTCACGACTCTGAATAAACTTAAAACAAATGCAGTCCTCCATACTGAAAACTAGATGTCGAGGCAATAAGATTCTAGCCTGAGCTTCTCCCGGCTGTCTCACGTGAGCCCCACCTGCATCCTGACGAGGTACAGACTAGACACAGGCTGCCCACCTCAGTGAGTACTACGGGTATCTGGCCTCCACGGCTTTAGGGCCTGCTTGGGATATCACGGCTTTAGGGCCTGCTTGGGATATATCACAAGTCTGTTGCTGTCAGTAAACCTGCCTTTCCCTCTCCTCCCACCCCCTCAGAAACAGTCCTGTGAAGCAGATGCAAAGAAAGCCAAACAGTACAAGAATGTCACGGAGGTCTCACAGGTGGTGACTGAACGTTTCTTGTGTACGGGAGGCATTGAACCCGAGGTGGACCCCAACACTTGCAAAGGTGAGAAACGGGACCCTACCCTGTTCCTTCACTCCTCCTTTTAGGTCACCCAGAAGTCACTGCCAGAATTGTGGCCTGTGCCAGTGTAGTGTCAGAAAATGCTACTCGTCAGAGTTTGTTTCCTGGAGTCGTTTTCCGTTACTCAGGACAAAAATAACAGCCTACCTGTCAATAATTGCCTGTTTAGCACTAGGGCTGTATTTGTCGGTAGATGACTGAACAGTGTTAAATGACAGGTGGGGACCACCCATCAGCCACAAACTTCACCGGGCAATGGCTTTGCCTACTTTCCTGGAACGTGGGGCGGGTGCCACATTGGGAAATGGGGCTCAGAAGAGCCACACGTGGCTCCCAAGCCACTGAGTGTTGCTGCTCTAGAGGAAGTTTCGGCTGGGTGGTTTAAGAGTATCAAAAACTACATAGGCTGTGGTGTAATTACAATCGGGAAAATAGGGCACACCAAAGAAAAGTAATCTTCTATATTTTTAACACACTTAGTTGTATTATTATAACAAATTTCCTTATAACAAATTTCCTGTATTAACTAGCATTCATTCATTAGATATGAAGTACTTTTCATGAACATAAACAAAGCCAGTAAATGATAATATGAGTGCAATACAAAACAATACAAAATACAGAGCTTTGGGAAGACATTAGAGAGAGGTTTTGTTGAACCACATTATTGTCATTTCCTGCTTGTGCTCCGTCAGGATGTCTCAAAGAGTAAACATTCCAGGAGCTCAGCCAAAACAACATCAAGAATAACTACATCAAGATTTTGTATTTTTTGTATTGTACTCATATTATCATTTACTGACTTTCCTTATGTTCATGAAATGTACATATATAATGAATGAATGCTAGTTAATACAGGAAATTTGTTATAAGGAAATTTGTTATAATAATACAACTGTGTTAAAGATATAGAAGAGTAATTTTCTTTGGTGTGCCCTCTTTTTCCTAGGGTGGTTTAAGAGAGCTGATAATTTTAGTCCTCCGGCCAGCTTTTTGCCTGGTTGCTTTGTCCAATGGCTTGCCCGTCTCTGATCGCCATACTATTCCCTCCCTTCCTCTATTCTGATCACAGAGTAGGCGTCGACAGATGCAGAATTCCTGGCATGGAACCTTACCAAGAGTCCCGATTTTGAGTCACCCTGTTTACTTCCCCTCCAGTGCATATGGAATGGTAGCCCCTGGGGTTAGCAGGAGTATTCTGGGACTGGAATAACCAGCCCCAGAGTGGAATGACAGCCAGGACACTCCTCTTACTCCAAAGGGCTGTCATTCCACCATTGGGCCTGTCATTCCACTCCCAGAACACAACTGCTTCCCCCAGGGGCTGTCATTCCACTCTGGGGCCTGTCATTTCAGTCCCAGAACACTCCTGCTACTCCCCAGGGGCTGTCATTCCACTCCAGAGCTTGTCATTCCAGTCCCAGAACACTTCTGTTACTCCTAGGGTCTGTCGTTCTTACTTCTGTGAACTTAAAATGAGAAACGTCATGACTACAAGGCAGGAATTGCAACTTTTTGAGCCAAATGCAAGCTCTTACACGAAAAAGCTGCTGACTGTGCATTGCCCATTCCAGAACACTCCTGCTACCCCCAGGGGCTGTCATTCCACTCCAGAGCCTGTCATTCCAGTTCCAGAACACTTCTGTTACTCCTAGGGTCTGTCATTCTTGCTTCTGTGAACTTAAAATGAGAAACGCCATGACTTCAAGGCAGGAATTGCAACTTTTTGAGCCAAATGCAAGCTCTTACTCGAAAAAGCTGCTGACTGTGCATTGCCCAGTCATATTCAGTGATTATAAATTTAATAAACAGATACATTTCAAATACTTTTTTTTAAGGACTGGTACATAGCGATGAGTAAAAGCAGCCATGCAGGAATCAAACCAACAATGCCCTGATTTACAGGGCATGAATTCACCCACTGAGCTAAACACAAGGTCTTGTATTTTACTGCTGAGTGTGCCTCCTACAGCTCGAAGTAAATCCCCCCCCCGGTGAACTTAAAAATGTCCCATAAAGTGGGGGGGGGGGGTCAAGAAAAAATAAATGGGTTGAAAGCAGATAGATAAGTTTTGGAAGATAAGATTTGAGGGCTGGTACACAGCTATGAGGAAATAGAGCCAAGCGGGAATAAAATTAGAAACACCATTTCTGGATTTAAACTTTTTGAGATAAATGCAAGCTCTTACTGCACCAGTAGTGAACTTAAAAATGTTCAGTCAGTCTGTAAAAGGGGTCAAGAAATAAAAGCTTCAAAACGAAGATAAAAATTAAAAAAATATTTTGGGGGCTAGCTAGTAAAAAGAGTACTGTTGGAATCGAACCACGAGTTACCGCCTAGTTTATTGTGCACCACCAGTTGGAATTATTTAAGAATTAGCGGAGCAACTGCTCAAAAATGTCTGCATTAGGTTGACAGCGCAACGAAACCAGAAAGGAGGGGTTAGAGCAGCGAAGAACAGCATTCCTTTAAACCAGTGCGGAGCGGCTATGACAATGGAGTCACTACCAGAGGGCGGGAAACATATGCAGACACTGATTTTTGTACTGGCGCACTGCTAGCATGAAACCGGATGCAAATGTAGACAGTTTATTGGGGAACGGGAGCGAAAATGTCAGGAAACCGGCAAGAAACACACATGTAGATTCGACCAGGCCTTCGATTAGGGAGCCGCACTTAATAAACTAAGGCCCTGGCCCAACACTAATACCATCCTCAACAGCCTGTGCTCTGCCAATATGACCCAGACTGAGATCTATCAGCCGACTGTGCTTTATATGCTGATGCTACTAACGCCTCACCATCACCATATGATCCATACTGGCACTTTATGAGGTGTTTTTATATTATATTGATTCTCTGTTTTATCTGTTTAATAAATGTTATGCCCTGAGCCTGCTTCGGCAGGGAGGGTGGGATATAAATTAAATAAATAAATAAATGGTTACGCCCCTTTTCTGTTTTGCAGGTGACTCTGGTGGCCCTCTGATCATCGCTAAAAGGATGCGTTACATCCAGGTGAGTGGGCCCTCAAGCATGTCCCAGGTTCACCCACTGGGGAAATCCCAGGCCCTGGTTTGAATTGGCAGCCCCATCAAGAGGAAAGACCTCAGGCCGTATTCCTTCATGCCTCTTAAAAGCAGACCTGTGTGTGCCCCGATCCTACAATATTCCATAATTCAGGGAACCAAACCAAAGATGGAACATGACCTGTCTCCCTCCAAGAATTGGTATGGACTGCGGTGGGGTCCCCAACATGGTGCCCTCCAACACTTTTCCTGGTGCATGCCAAATGCTTTTAGAAAGTGGGTGGGACCAGATGGGGATTTTCCCACAGCAAAGCTTCTGATTGGCCACTAGAAATTTGATTGGCTGTGCCTTCCCCAGGCTCCACCTCCAAAATCTCCAGGTATTTCCCCACTAGGGTTCCCAGACCCCCGGTCTGGGCAGGGGATCCCCCAATTTTGGAGGCTTCTGTCCGGCAGTGGAAGCCCAGCCCCCAAACAGCAACATCATGTAGCAACGCTCTGCGTTTGGGGCAAAACTCTATGGTTTGTGCCCAATTTTAACCATAAAGTTTGCCCCAAAAGCAGAGCATCACTGTAGTGACGTCACCGCCCACTCCTAGACCGCCCGCCAAATCCCCCTGCTGGCATGATGACCACGCCTGGAAACCCTATTCCCCACCCAGAACTGGCAACCCTAGTCCCAAGTACAGATTCACAGCTGGCTGCTTGAGGCATGCCTCTGTGTTCACGCTAAACTGCGCCTTCCGCTTCTCTACCTGGTTGATGGCCCTTTCTTTCTAGCTGGCCTGAGATGCAGCACCTGGGGTTTTTTTGGCCACCGTGTGGCACAGAAGTGTTGGACTGGATGGGCCACTGGCCCGATCCAACATTGGCTTCTCTTACATTCTTCCGCGTGCCTCTCACTCTCGCATCTCCCTTTTTCCACAGGTGGGTGTGATCAGCTGGGGTGTGGTGGATGTCTGTGGAAAGAACCTGCGGACGTGTGACAGTGACAACATCCTGGAGCGTGCCCCCTCCCACGCCAGGGACTTCCATATCAACCTCTTCAAGGTCTTGCCGTGGCTCCGGCAGGAGCTGCGTGAGGAAGGGCTGGACTTCATCAACTAAGAAGAAGAAGAAGGGTGTGTGTTTAACCTTGCCCCTCACCCTTTGCCTCTTCCCACGCCAGCTGGCCGTGTTCTGTGTAAATAAAACTGGTGCCTTCAAATCCTGTAAAGTCCATGTAGTGTCAGCCGTTGTGTATTAAAATGCTACTCTGTGAGAAGTAAGTCTGACAGTGTTTCTCCTTTGTGCATTTCAAGACTGGGGGGAGGAAAGGCTTCTTCTGAGCCATGCGTGTTCCAGGCACGGGAAATCCGCACCCACAGTCTTGGCTTTCATTACCTTAGTTTAAATTTTTTTAAAAATCAAGTTTCTAGACCTTATGGTTATATAAATAAGCCTCTGGGCAGCACCAGATGCGATCTCAAAAACCAACCGCAGGGCCAATCAGGCCTTTGGAGGTTACACATTCAGTGCTCGGCCTAACTTATTATTTACAACATTTGCCTTCCACCTTTTTCTGCCCTTACAAGGGCCACCCATGCGGCTTGTTTCTCCCCGATTAAGAGCAGAAACACCATAGATAAGCATGTATGCAGATGTCATTGGCTTGCAGTGCATGATTCCAGCAAAAGGATTCAAGAGGGTGGTGTGGAAGTCTGGATTTTTTAGTGCAGGGCACACAAAAATCTGGATCACGATGAAGGGAAGGCCTTGCTGCGGGTCAAAGGAATGGCTCTGTTAGTTACATGGCTGCCGGAAGCCTTACTGGGACATCCGGACATCCCTATTCCTGCAAAGAGAGAACTCTGTACGAATGGGGGAGAGTGCAGATTGTTGGGAGATGAAACGAAGAGTGCTCGAATATACTCAAAAAAGCCCTCCCCCCCACCTTTTCCTTCACCCTCGTCCAAGGACCAGCAAGAAGGAACCTACTTCTTGGTTCTTCCTTGGTACATGCGGACCAGGAGATCATGGGTGCCAGAAATCTCCTTTGTCAAGGCCAGGGCTCAGCAATAGAATGTGCGTGACTGAAGAGGAGCGTGCCTCTGTGCACGTGTGAAGTACTGCTAACGCTGTGTGTGTCTCTGTATGTTCCGTGCTGTCAAGTAACTTCTGACTCATAGTGCCCCTCAGAATTAATGTCCTCCGAAAATGGCCTACTCCTTAACAGCCTTGCTCAGGTCCTGCAAACGGAGAGCTGTGGATTCCTCTATACAGCCAATGCATCTCATCCGGACTCTTCCTCTTTTCCTGCTGCCTTCCAACTTTCCCTAGCATCATTGTCTTTTCCAGTGACTCTGGTCTTCTCACAATGCGGCCAACATACGACAGCCTCAGTCTAGTCATATTAGCTTCTAGGGAGAGTTCGGGCTTGATCTGATCTGATCTAGAGAGCGTCTAACACTATCCCCGCACATTTTGAACTGAGAACACAAGGGGGAACTTCTCCCCAAAGGAGGGGGCTTGTGAAGAAGAAACGGAAAGGAAAGGCAAGGAGGGTCAAATCCCTCTGGGAAGCTTCGAGGCTGTTTATAACTACAATCCTGGAAGCTCAGGTAAAATGTCCACGACAAATAGGTATTAAAAAGGCCTGCGTGGTTAACAGAGTAATGGAAGCAGTCAAGGGTAAGAAGGATTCCCGGAAGCGATAGAAGGTTAGTCCGAGTGCAGTAAATAAAAGGGAGCACAGGCTTTAGCAAATAAAAGGCAAGTTGGTGATCAGACAGGCAAAAAGGGACGATGAGGAACATATTGCAAAAAACATCCCTATGGCACGCATGACTATTGGTTTTACATGTTTTAATGTGTTTTAAATTTTATTGTATTTATTGAAATGTTGTGACCTGCCCTGAACCTGTTTACGGGATGGGCGGGATATAAATGCGAAAAGGAAGGAAGGGAAGGAAGGAAGGAAGGACAATAAAAATTCAAATACATTAGAAGCAGAAAACCAGTCGGGGAGGCAGTGGGGCCCTTGGATGACCAAGGGGTGAAAGGATCAGTAAAGGATGACAGGGAAATGGCAGAGAAGCTGAATGCATTTTTTGCCTCGGTCTTTACTATGGAAGACGGGAGGTGCTTGCCCACTCCAGAACCGCCGATTTCAGAAGGGGTGTCGAGAGACCTGAGTCAGATTGAGGTGACAAGAGAGAAGGTCCTACGACTGATGGAGAAATTAAAAACTGACCAATCACCAGCCCAAGATGGGAAGTCCCTCCCCTCCCCAAAGCCCTCCCTCCTCAGGCTCCACCCCCCAAATCTCCAGGTGTTTCCCAACCCAGAGCTGGAAATCCTAGGCCCACCTGCCTAGAGAAGAGCCAGCTCTGGCTAAGGAAACAGAACCTCAAACAGATTCTGCTGTGCTCCACTGGGCAGGTCACAGCAGAACTCTCTACAGCCATAAAAGACGCTGCAGTGATACAGAAGAAACTCCAGGCTGTGGTCTGGAAAGCCTAGGCCTCTGAGAGTAGCCCTCCCAAATCCCACTTTCGGTCCTGTCCCTGCTCCAGTTCCCAACTCTAACTAGAATTCCCAGCTCTTCTTCGTCCTTTTATGGCCTTTCCCCTTTGAAACTGGACCTTGGAATCGTCTTGAGGCCTTGCTCTTTCCCAGCCTCTTAACCAAGTGGGACAGTGCATCCTGGAGCAGAGCTTTTTGCCCGGCTCCGGTAAAAGCCTAGACGAAATCTCAGAAAGAAGAGACACGAGTTTAGCATGAAGTCCGGAGGCATGGTTCGAAGGCATAGTGCATCCTGGAGCAGAGCTTTTTGCCCGGCAAGTCCAAACTTAAATACGAAATCTCAGAAAGAAGAGACACGAGTTTAGCATGAAGTCCGGAGGCATGGTTCGAAGGCATGTGATGCAGCCATGGTGCTGAAGCTAAGCCAGACTAGATCTGGCCAATACTTGGCCAGGAGGCCGCTTGAGAACTGAATGCAGCCGCCTTCAATTTTATAACAGGAGAAAGGTAGGGAATAAAGGTAATGAACACGTGGGGCGTAGTGGTTAGAGGATCAGACTGTGGCCTGGGAGATCAGGGATCTTCGACGTGGTCTCTGTGCTTCACACCCATGGGATCTAGTCCGCACAAGCTGGATCGATCGGTGCTGTAGCAAGCTCTTTTAACGGATTTTCCCGCCCAGTCCCTCGGGCATGCACAAGAACCCCACTCGAAGATCACCAGTTACTGGTAAGCAACCTGTTTTTCATCAGGTGACCTTGGGCCAGTCACATTCTCTTAGCTGAACTTGGACAAAATGGGGTAGAGATGCCAGCCTCCAGGTGGGACCTGGGGATCCCCCGGAATTACAGCTCATCCCCAGACAACCGAGAACAGTTCCCCTGGAGAACACGGATGCTCTGGAGGGTGGACTCTGGGTGCGGTCACATGGCAAGCTTACCACGATTTGTTCCCGCTGTAGATATGATCGGGGATATTTTTAGCAGGTTCAGACGATCACACATCCCTTGTCCAACCGCTTGCATCAGGCAACAAGGCTCCAGGCATCCGCAAAGAACGGCATGATAAAAACAGATAGCCGAAGAAGGTTTTAAAGACGCAGAGCTCTGAGCTCAAAGAACCACAGCCCCAAAATTTAGAAAACATCTTTTTATTGGAACACCTGAACTAGACATGGCAAAACAAACAAAAATCTCCCTTGCCTCCAGCGGAGATTGCCTGGTACGCTTCAGAAGAGATCCTCACTGTAGACCACCTGGGACCGCTTGTCACGATGGGACCCCTTGGAACTGTAATTCACGGCTGAAACGGGGAGCAGGGTGTCAAGGAACCCGGCAAGAGACCCAAGCTGCCCACACACACACCAGTTGTACCCCCGGAGGATGGTCGCGTATGTGGACCCTGGCGAACTGGAAGGGCCTATTCAGAGCCATGGCCCAAAACCCACTGAGGCAGTGGAATGTTTTTACACGTAAATTGATTTTAGTCCCTTTTTAGGGCTCTTTCTGTAGCAGGTACTCATTTGCATATTAAGCGACACACCCCCTAATGTAGCCAATCCTCCAAGAGCTTACAGTAGCTCCTGTAAGAAGAGCTCTGTAAGCTCTTGGAGGATTGGCTACATTAGGGGTGTGTGGCCTAATATGCAAAGGAGTTCCTGCTACAAAAAGAGCAGTGGCGGGCGGCGGCCTGCGAGTGTTTCTTGCAGTGGGGCAAACAGCAAGTCTGAGCAGGGCTGAGGACAGCAAAAGGGAACCTGGGGAGGGAACAGTCGTTTCTCCCTCCGGACTCCCCTGAGCTAAGCACAGCCCCCTAACGGGCTATTATATAGCCGTTTCAAATGCACCAGAGACCAAGGGTCTTCCAGCACCTGACCTAGACTGGCCTTTCACTTCATCTTCTTCTTACGCTGTCAAGTTGACTTATAATAACCTCTCATGGGGCCTTCGCAAGAGGCATCCAGAGGTGGTTTGCCACTGCCCAGTCATCGGTGCCTGCAGGCATCAGCTGGAAAAATCGTGGCTGCACGCATTCCAGAGGCAAATTTTAAAAAGGGGAAAAAACTTGTTCATCATCCAGAATGCAAAACTGGGGGCAATATGAATCGGCTCAGCTGTGTGGATCAACAACATGTATCCAGAGAGACAGTGAAAAGCCCAGTAGCACCTTCAAGACTAACCAACTTTACTGTAGCATAAGCTTTCGAGAAACACATCGACACAGAGAATACTCCATCTTTCTGTGCTATACCTCTGCGGATGGCCAGTCACAGCTTTCGGTGAAACATCAGGTACTGCAGTGCCAAGACCACGGCCGCATAACCCGGAAAATCTATAACAACTAAACACAGCTCTCTTCTTCAGATGCATCAGAACAAAGATGCATCTGAGGAAGAAGAAGGAGAAGAGATTGGATTTATACCCCGCCCTTCACTACCCAAAGGTGTCTCAGAGTGGCTTACAAACTCCTTTCCCTTCCCCTCCCCACAACAGGCACCCTGTGAGGTAGGTGGGGCTGAGAGAGCTCTGACAGAGACAGCTCTTTTTCGAGAACAGCTCTTACCAGAGCTACGGCTTGCCCAAGGTCATCCAGCCAGGTGCAAGTGGAGGAGTGGGGAATCAAGCCCGGTTCTCCCAAATCAGAGTCCGCGCACCTAACCACTACACCAAACTGGGTCTCAAAAGCTGCGTTTCTCGAAAGCTTATACTACAATAAAGGTGGTTAGTCCTAAAAGGTGCAACTGGGCTTTTTGCTATTTTGCAGCAACAGACTAACGCAGCTCAGTCCCCTGGATCGATATCCAGAAAGGAAAAATTATACGGTCTGTACCCATCCTAAGAGTAACACCCTTCTCGGTCATGAGGTAAATAAATACATTCAAAGAAACGTCAGGCAGAAATGGCTTGACGGCCCAGACAGTCCACTAAAAGGACAGAGTCTTGTCGCATCAGAAAAAAAAATCAAATTTGATAGACTTTAAAGACTACTGCAGTGCTAACATGGCTTCCCAAAGACCAGCATCTGAGCTAGGCCTTTGGTTCTGCTGAGAGGATCCAGCACTAGGCCTTTGCTCTCTGGACACTGTGCTTGGCTGTTCTAGCTCATTCACCACACCCCAGGGGCACATTTGCTTCTCAACAGCAGCTGAAGGTGGTCTTCCCCAAGGGCCACCCCTTCTTTTTTCTCAGACCCACAACTCCGGCCCAAAAGAGGAACTCCAGAAACCAGCACCTCAGTGATGGCCTGATCCGCAGACTCAATCTTCTCATAGGTGACGAATGCACAGCTGGAAAAATAGAGAGGGGTAAAAGTTTGTACCTGGAATGGTCCCAGTGCCTGTAAAGAACGTACAAAGCTGGTTCAGACTGAGTCAGACTATGATTGGTCCTCTAACCCACTCCAGACTGCTCCCCTCCCCCCCCCCCCCCCCGGGAGCTCCACGGTGCCCTGATGTCTCTGCGCTCACCCTACACCCTCCTCCGACAAACATCCTACCCACTTACCAAGTGATCCCCAGACTGACTTGCCAGTGGCCACATCCAACATAGGCTGCTTGCGAGCGATGCTGACCTTCAGCTGGACGTCTTCTACGACGGCACCGTTAAGCTGTAGGGGGCAGCAGTTAGTACAGCATAGCAAACCACAGAAGCTCATTGGGTAACCCGGGCCTACTCATTCTCTCTCGGCCTAACTACCTCATGGGGTTGCTGCTGTGAGGGGAAAGTAGAGGAAAGGACAGCAACATTGTCAGCTGCTTTGGGTCCCCACGGGGGTGGGGGGGTGAGAGTGGGGTATAAATGAACGGATATGAGGTAAATAAATAAATTCAAAGAAACGTCAGGCAGAAATGGCTTGACGGCCCAGACAGTCCACTAAAAGGACAGAGTCTTGTGGCATCAGAAAAAAAAAAAATCAAATTTGACAGACTTTAAAGACTACTGCAGTGCTAACATGGCTTCCCAAAGACCAGCATCTGAGCTAGGCCTTTGGTTCTGCTGAAAGGATCCAGCACTAGGCCTTTGCTCTCTGGACACTGTGCTTGGCTGTTCTAGCTCATTCACCACACCCCAGGGGCACATTTGCTTCTCAACAGCAGCTGAAGGTGGTCTTCCCCAAGGGCCACCCCTTCTTTTTTCTCAGACCCACAACTCCGGCCCAAAAGAGGAACTCCAGAAACCAGCACCTCAGTGATGGCCTGATCCGCAGACTCAATCTTCTCATAGGTGACGAATGCACAGCTGGAAAAATAGAGAGGGGTAAAAGTTTGTACCTGGAATGGTCCCAGTGCCTGTAAAGAACGTACAAAGCTGGTTCAGACTGAGTCAGACTATGATTGGTCCTCTAACCCAGCGCCATCTGCTCTGATTGGTGGTAGCTCTCAGGCAGAGACACCTCCCCCCCAACACTTGTGATCCTTTTAACTGGAGAAACCAGGGACTGAATCTGAGACCTTCTGCAGGCAATTCATGGGAGTCACCCCCATAGATATGGTCCCTTCCCAAAGCAAGAACAATCCCCATGTGAAGCCACCTCATACCAATTCAGGCCATTTTCCCATTCAACCCCATTCTATCTACTTGACAGGCCTATCCCAGCATTTACAACTAGGGATGGGCACGGACCAGACCACTGACCTAATTTTTCCATGGACTGGGTCCCGGTTTGTGGTTTGTTTGTCCAGTCTCTACCCTCGTACTTTCCGTGGAATGCCCAGGGTCTTTGGGGGGTTCATTTGGTCTGTGGGAGCAGTCCACGTCCGCACCGTGCTGCCTTCTGGGTTCCCTCGTGTCATGCTGCCACGGCAGCACAATGCAGAAGTGGGCTCAGAAGGCACTGCGTCGTGGTGAGGATGGCGGTGCTTGCAAAAGCCATTTAAAGGGATGTGTTCCCTTTAAATGGCTTCTGCAAGCCCCCCCCCATCACGGATCTCACAGATCGGTTCATAGAAATGGAAAAGTCTGTGAAAGTTCGTGGTTCGTGAAACCCACGAACCATGAACCTCCCCGTTTTCGGTCCATGCCCATCCCTACTTACAACCTCAGATCCTTCCACTGCAGATTCAGTGCCACCGAGGTGTAGTGGTAGAGAGTGTTGGATGAGTATCTGGGAGTTCGTGAAACCCACAAACCATGAACCTCCCCGTTTTCTGTCCATGCCCATCCCTACTTACAACCTCAGATCCTTCCACTGCAGATTCAGTGCCACCGAGGTGTAGTGGTAGAGAGTGTTGGATGAGTATCTGGGAGATGTGGGTCTGAATCCCCACTTGCGTCATGGAAGCTCATTGAGTGATCTTGGGCCACTCCCACTCTCTCAGCCTAGTCTACCTCACAGGGTTGCTCTGAGGATAAGATGGAGGAGAGGAGAACAAAGAAAGATGCTTTGGGTCCCCATTGAGGAAACAGCGTGGGGAGAGGGAACCCCACTCACTACAAGTGCAGTCACAATCTGAATCGGACACCTTTGTGCCTGATATTTATTTATTTTAAACATTTTATGATCCCTTTCCATCCAGTCAGGGCCCCCAAGGCAGCAAGCATTAAAACGTTTGAACAATTAAAAATAGATTTAAAATTGTAAAATTATTATTATCGTATGAAGAAGAAGAAGAAGAAGAAGAAGAAGAGGAGGAGGAGATTGGATCTATACCCCGCCGGCTTACAAACTCCTTTCCCTTCCCCTCCCTACAACAGACACCCTGTGAGGTAGGTGTGGCTGAGAGAGCTCTTGACAGAAACTGCTCTTTTTCAAGAACAGCTCTTATCAGAACTACGGCTTGCCCAAGGTCATCCAGCCAGGTGCAAGTGGAGGAGTGGGGAATCACACCCGGTTCTCCCAGATCAGAGTCCGCACACTTAACCACTACACCAAACCACTACACCAAACCAGTATGGCATTGTGTGTAGAATAGCCAGGATATCCTGAGATTGTCTGGCAGCCAGAAGTTCTAGCTCTTTTAGCCTTATGCACTATGAGGCGGCAAGCTAGGCTTATTTTTAAGGGAAGAGACATTTCAGAGGTGGTTTGCTGTTGCCCACCTCTGATAGAAACCCATAAATATACAACAGTAAAACCTGGGAGGAGGGCCAGTGACCATTATGGGGGGGTATGCCACACGAAAAAAAAGTATTCAGCCGCTGGTGGAAGACGTCGATAGAGGAAGACAGACCAATCTCCCTGAAGAGGGAGTTCCAAAGTTCTGGTGCCATGACCGAGAAGGCCCTTTCTCAAGTCAACACCTGCCCAGCCTCAGAAGGCGGGGGCAACTGAAGCACGGCCTCTAAAGATGACCAGAGTCTACAGGTAGGTGTTTAGAGAACAAGACAACACTAGTCGTCTCATCCACAGAAATCCCAGTGTCCCATCAGTTTGAGCCCTCAGGCAACCATTAAGGGAGAAAAGGCAGGAAGCATGCCTATCTGACAGATTTCGAAGCGCTGACACAGCTCCTGTTCATTTCAGCGTGGCTTATACGGGAGACACTTTGGGTGAGATGCACCCCATGCTGATTTAGGGCAGGACAGAAGTCAACTTTGGCTTTTTTGCTTCACACCTCGCAGTGCCTTGAGCCTACCCAGCCCCCCCCCCAAACTCACTTGCGGGGGTTGTCCATGGAGAGGTCAATGATGTTCCCAAAAGCAGAGAAGGCCGTACGCAGCATGTTCTGGTTCATATCTGCTCCGGATACGTACACCGTGTTCCCTTTGCGCGGAGTCCAACGGTCTGGAAAAGAATCTGAACCTGGGTGGGGAAGTACGGCTCAGGAATATGGTTGAAAGTAGAAACAAAAACAAAAACTCCCCTCTCAGAGTCTTGCAGCACCTGAAAGGCGTATCGTGACAAAAGCCCTGCATGGCCTCGACTCATCCCTATCTCTCCCTCTTAATACCGCAATACCGATTGGCCTAGGACCTCTGCTCCTTGAGCTCCACCACCCTCAACCGTCTATATCTCCTGCACCCTCAAATGACGCTGCCTTTTCTCCCTTGCTGCTCCTTAGACCTGAACTTCCCCTCCACACACTTACACAACACTGCCTGCCTCTCTCTCTCTGTCTCCTAAAAACTCCTCCCCAAATCCCACCTTTTCCAGGAAGACTGGGGCACAACCCCTCAAGCCTTCTCCCCTCACTAAAACTATGCTTTAATACAGAGGTGTCAAACTCATCTGTTATGAGGGCCGGATCTGACATAAATGTCACTTTGTCAGGCCGGACAATGTGTGCCCTAAAACGTAATGCCAGGTATCCAGAGACAGAAACTATACAAAGGACAGCAGCTGGTGAGCTCTGAGTTGGTGTATCCTCACTGCAAGGCCTCGATGGCTGGGAGCGGGGCACAGAGGAAAACCCACAGAGGTGGACCGGAGAGGCAGCAGTGTGGCGCTGGGCAGATGCTCCCACGATGCTTGACTGCTGTAGACGAGGTTGTTCTGACGTGCTGAAGTCACGATGGCGTCCTTCCATCCACTCCGTCCAGCACTCCCTCCCTTGCACCAGTCGCTCACAGGCTGCATAAGAGCCCTGGACGGGCCGGTTCTGGCCTCTGGGCCTCATGTTTGACACCCCTGCTTTAATACATGTGAACTAAATGGATGGCATGTTCTTCCCACATTTCTTCCTTCCATCTCCCCCCCCATTTCCAGTTCTTGCCTCCTCCGGGACAAATTTTAGACTGCAAGCTCCTCAGGGCAGGGGCTTGCTGTTAAGCACCTCGCCCATGGAATTCGTGATCCCTCCTCCCTGCCTAATGTTTTAATTGTTGTTTTCATGTTTTATGGGTATTTTAACCCTAGTTTTAATTATTTTTTGTTGGTTTCAAGATGCGATTCTAGTATGCACATTTTAATTTGTCAGCCAGCTTGGTAACATTATGAGGGTGGAAGTAAGCAAATATAGCTAATAGTGATGAGTGGCCCTCCCCGTCAAATATTCTACGAGGGGAAGGGAATGTCCTCCCAGGACTAGGATAGACATTTCTGTGAATCTAAACTAACAACAACAACAACAATGGTGTAGTGGTTAAGTGTGTGGACTCTAATCTGGGACAACCGGGTTTGATTTCCCACTCGTCCACTTGCAGCTGCTGGATGACCTTGGGGCCGTCACAAGTTCTCTTACAGCTTTTCTCGAAAGAGCTCTCTCAGCCCCACCTACCTCGCAAGGTCTCTTCTGTGGAGAGGGGAAGGGAAAGGAGATTGTAAGCCTCTCTGAGACTCTGAGCGAAGGGCAGGATATAAATCCAATCCAATTATTATTATTATTATTATGTTATTTTAAAAGCAGGGGGTTAACCTCCGCAGTAACCTGTGATATCTATGCAGGTGAAAATGTTATTATAAAAAATGGGGGGGAAAAGAAAGGAAAAGAAGAGTAGAAGTTAGTTAAGAAGAAAAAGAGTTAGATTTATAATCTCCTTCCCTTCCCCACAGAAGACACCTTGTGAGGTAGGTGGGGCTGAGAGAGCTCTTTCGAGAAAAGCTGTGAGAGATCTGTGACTGACCCAAGGTCACCCAGCTGGCTGCATGTGGAGGAGTGGGGAATCAAACATGGTTCTCCCAGAAGGTTCACTGCTCTGTAGCCACTATACCAAACTACACTGCCCAGACTAAGGACCTTGCTAAACCCCTGCTGCTCTCACTGAGAGGCTAGTAATCAAAGATACACACACGATCTAACAAACCGGGTTCAATCTCATTAAAGCATATGCTTTGGCTAAGTGTGCTGTTCTTTAAGGTACCCCAGGACTCTTGCACCGGCCCTTTCTAAGAGGAATTCCTTACAGCGGAAGCTTCCATCTCTGTCACGCTCCCGGTCTCGGTCTCTCTCCCGGTCCCGGTCTCTGTCACGCTCCCGGTCTCGGTCTCTCTCCCGGTCCCTGCTCCTATCCCGGCTGTGATCCTGGTCATAATTCCACTCGTAACCACGCGGGTTTTCGCTCTGGTCCGAATCCTTGTCTGGATCCCTGCTGGGTTCTGGATCCTTCTCCGGATCCCGCGGCTGATCGCTGGAACTCACAAAGCTGGGGAAAGAGTTTGCAAGGAGCAGCAACAGCCAGGGATGGCAACGGTTGTGCATGGAAAGAATGGGGTTTAAATCTCACCATCCGATGCTGTCGCCACAGCATTCAGGGACTCGGTACATCACAGTTTTTACAGTCAGCCTCCAAAGCCTGGGAAGGCAAAGGGTGTGGCGTCCCCCTTGTAGGGGAGATGGATAGTCGGAATCGCTGGCAGCTGCGTCTGGGAATGCTTACACAGCTGTCAACATCTCCCAGCACCTACACGTGCTTCCAAGCCTAACAGTTACATGCACAACAGACCTTGCCCTTCTTTCTTCTCACTGACTTACACTGAAACTTTAAGCACAGCAGAGACTGCCACCAGACTAGAGAAAGGAAGATCTGTGCAGCAGACTTGTATGTTTGACATTCTCTGTTGTTATTGTTTTTGCTGTCAAGGCACAGCGGACTTATAGCAACCCCGTATGGTTTTCAAGGCAAGAGATGTTCAGAGGTGGTTTGCCATTGCCCGTCTCTGTAGATCTCTAGACCTCTGATCTCTAGACCTCAAAAAGATACCCAAAAAACCAAAACCAACCAGGCTCGCGAAAATCAGTGCAAACAGTGATTCTCAAGACCTCCGCAAAGTAGAGAAGTTCACCCAGATTATATGCTTGAACCAGTAGATTCTTCTCATCATATTTTATATCTTTGAGACAAATCACATTGCTCTGATTAACATTCAAGCTTGAATGCAGTAAAATACTGAAAGAACACGAGGCCTTAAATACATCCCTGCCCCGCTGCCAGGCTGGCTATAACCAGGGGCCAGGGCTTTCTCGGTGGTGGCTCCTTCCTGGTGGAATGAGCTCCCGGAGGAGATTAGGGCCCTGAGGGACCTTATACAGTTCCGTGGGGCCTGCAAGATGGAGCTCTTCCACCAGGCCTTTAATCAGGAGCCGCCCCGACAGAGACCCATGCCCCCTGAAGCCATAAGAACAGCCTGGGTCTGCTGCACAAGATTAGATCAATGGGCTGACCACGACGACGAAAGCAGCCGCCATCATTTAATAATTTATTGTGTGCTTTATTCTGTTGTAAGCCGCCCTGAGCTGGCCTTGGCTGGGAGGGCGGGGTATAAGTCTAAATAAAATAAAATAAAAAACATACATCTTCTTTTCTCACCTCAGGTCTTCAAGATAAGATGGACAGGAGACCTACACGCGTTCTGCTAGCCCAGGTGGCTTCCCGCTGAGCTTCCCCCCCCCCCGACACAAGTGGGCCTTGCATCAGGGAAGGGCCCCCCGCTGGCAGAACAGATTGGCAGTATCTCTCCCCATAGGGCAGGGAAGTATGTCCAAAACTAACCTTTCATACAGAGACTTCCTCTGGGGACGCCGTGACTAAAGCAAACAAAAAACACCAATGATTTCACGGTAACGATCAGTCAGCAATCTCTGGGTCGAAGTTAGGACATGGGACGGGCACAACACTGCCGGTTCTCCCTCTAGGCACCCCAAGACATCCGGCACTTTCTTTTCTTGTCTGCTTCAAAATTCTGCACTGTTTCCTATTGTGGGTTCTAAGATGGTCTGGCCAGCACAGCTCATGGGGCATGCACATACAGCTGGAAAGCATTTTAAAATGAAGACACCCCCCCCCCCCAAAAAAAATAAAAACAAATCACACGTGAAGCTGCCTTGTACTGAATCGGACCACTGGTTCATAAAGGTCAGTATTGTCTACTCAAACTGGCAGCGGCCCTCCCGGGTCTCAGGCAGAGGGGCGTTCGCTTTATGTACTTCCTGGTACATAGAACGGATAAAAGGAAGTACTTCTTCACCCAAAGAGTGATTAATACATGGAATTCACTGCCACAGGAAGTGGTGGCGGCTACAAGCATGGACGGCTTCAAAAGGGAATTAGATAAGCATATGGAGCAGAGGTCCATCAGTGGCTATTAGCCACAAGGTATAGATAGGGACTCTGGGGCAAGTGATGCTCTGTCTTCTTGGTGCTTGGGAGGGTCAACAGTGGGAGGGCTTCTAATGTCCTGGCCCCACTGGTGGACCTCCTGATGGCACCTGGTATTTTTGGCCACTGTGTGACACAGAGTGTTGAACTGGATGGGCCTTTGGCCTGATCCAACATTGGCATCTCTTATGTTCTTATGGTCCTTTGGCCTGGAGAAGACGGGGATTGAACCTGTAACCTTCTGCGTTCCAAGCAGATGCTCTTATCACTGAACCAGCCACTCCCCTAACTTTTGCCATCGTTGGGGAGGGGCCATGTCTCAATGGTACAGCCTCTGCTTTGCATCCAGAAAGTTCCAGGTTCAATCCTCGGCATCTCTAGTTAAAAACCATCAGGTAACAGGTGATACGAAAGACCTCCGTCTGAGACCCAGCCAAGCCGCTGCCAGTCATTGTAGGCAATGCTGACCTTGATAGACCAATGGTAGGACTCAGTAGGAGGCAGCTTCATAGGTGTACACTATCTGCAGAAGGACCATGGCTCTGTGGAAGAGCCTCTGCTTTGTAGGCCTAGGTTCAGTCTCCAGATAAAAGATCGTGGGTAGCAGATACTAGGAAAGTGCCTGGCTAAGACCGAGAAGAGTAGACAGTTTTGAACTAGATGGACCAATGGTCTAACTCAGTCTAAGGGAGCTCTGTGTGTCCCCTCTTGCTTCCCCAATACCTGCGCCCTGGGCTACACTCTGGGATCTAGGCCTGAGCTGCTCTCATGCAGATCTGTTGATTTTCTGTTGGCTGACCGGCATCCCACAATGCACTTGGCCTCTGTCAAACCACGCAAGTTCTCCCGCTCTTATCTCCCACTGGGGATAAATTAGAGGACTTTGGCTGACCTGTCCCAAAGTGTAGAGGGGCACATGGCGGCGGCGGCGGCAGTATTCACGCACCCAATGTGTGCAGACACATTGGTAGCTGACCAAAAGCAGGCAGTGCTCCAGGGAACAAGTGGACAACATACCCCGTACCTTCTACAGTATCCGAACTACAAGCGAGGCGTAAGCAAGGTGGCCTCTCAGGCCAAAGGGGTACCCTTCAGCATGCAGAGTAGGTTTTATCTATTTATTTTATTCAATTTATACCCCGCCCTCCCCACTACGCTTCCTTATTAAGGTCTGCTTCCTTATCAAGGAACCCGTATCAAGGAACCCGTATCAAGGGACACAAGTACCTCTTGAGAATCGTCATCTGCCGAGATGCTCCGCTGAAAAGGCTGGAAAGTCGGGGCGGCCCCTTTTTTAGGATCCTGAAGACAAACACAAAGGTTAAGCCTACAAACACAAAGGTTAAGCCTGACTAACGGCCCCGTACGCCACTCCCCAGTCCTCGTCAGCGCAGCTCACCTTCAGCTTTCCCTCCAGAACGCGAGAGCGCTTGAACCCCGAGTTCTTGTTCTCGGCTTTAATGGCACTGATCGCCCCGGTTTTCACCAGCATCTTGGCCTGCTCCGTTGCGGTGGCCGTGTCCACAACCGGCTGGTCCGAGATGGCTGGGGGCACAAAGGGAGAGACCACAACAGTTGGCACGCCAGGCCTTGCTTAGACCCATCAAACGTCTCTTATGGATTCCTGACTTACAGCGTTTAATTCCACCCTGGCTGGCTTGACTGGTCGAGCTCTGCTGTTTCTTCAAGGCCACAAGGGCTTTTTTCTGGTGTGGAAAGAAAAATGGTTATTAGACTCCCTTCTTTTCTTAAGACCCTCTTCTTCCCCCGGAGAACCTCAGTCTCCTCTCTGTCCATGCCATAATTTCCCAAGCCATAATTTCAGAGACACAACCTATGCCCCTGCATGCAGAAGACTCCAGACTCAGCATCTCCAGTTAAAAGGGTCTCTGGGTCTAAACACATAATTTCCCAGGGGCAGGCCTTGGGCAGCAGCTTGGATAGCCCAGATTGGCCTGAGCTCATTGAAGCTCAAAAGCTAAGCAGGGTCAGCCCTGGTTAGTACTTGGATGGAAGACGACCAAGGAAGTCTAAGGTTGTGACACAGAGGCAGGCTCAGCCCTGGTAAGTATGTGGATGGGAGACGACCAAGGAAGTCTAAGGTTGTGACACAGAGGCAGGGTCAGCCCTGCTTAGTACTTGGATGGAAGACCACCAAGGAAGACCGGGGTCGTGGTGCAGAGGCAGGAAATGGCCAACCGCCTCTGCTCCGTCTCTTGCCTTGGACACCCCTTGAGGGGTTGCCCTGAGTCAGCTGTGACTTGATAGCACTTTATCATCATCCCCTGGGCAGGTCAGCAGGGAAACAAATCACTGCCTGAGATTTTAAAGAGCCACGAGGAAGGAGAAGAAGAGGATGGATTTATACCCCACCCTTCACTACCCAAAGGAGTCTCAGAGTGGCTTACAGTCTCCTTTCCCTTCCCCTCCCCACAACAGACACCCTGTGAGGTAGGTGGGGCTGAGAGAGCTCTTTCGAGGACTGCTCTTGAGAGAACAGCTCTGACAGAATTTATGACTGACCCAAGGTCACACCAGCAGCTGCATGCGGAGGAGTGGGGGAATCAAACCCGGTTCTCCCAGATTAGCGTCCGCGCACTTAACCACTACACCAAACTGGCCACTTGCATTACGCAGATTTATAGGCTGAGGGGAGATGTGGCTCCATATCCCTTGATGTCTCCAGTTATAGGACCTCAGGTGCTGGGAGAGACCCTTCTCTCAGGATTTTTGGGGGCACAAGCTTTCGAGCGTCAACGCTCCCTTTATTAGATCTGACAAAGGGAGCTTTGATTCTCGAAAATTTATACCCCCAAAAACCAATAGTCCCTAAGGTGCTACCTGACAAATCTAGCTATGTTCTACAGACCAACAGGGCTATTTTCCTAAAACTCTCGTCCTCTCTGTTTCTGTGACACTCTGGAGAGCTGCTGACGATCAAAGTAGACAACGGTAAGCCTGATCATGGTCTGACTCTGTAAAAGGCAGCTTCGTATGTCCTTTCAAACTCCCACCTTCCTTGCCTTTGGCTATGGTGTTACCCACCCTCCCTCCCCTAGGGAAGTTCTGACAAAAACCTGACCTTTTTCTTGAGCTTGGCAAATTTCTTCTGCAGAGCCTCCTCTTCCTCTGTCAGACCCGGCGGTAAGACAATCATGGTTGGCTGAAGAGGGCACTCTCTGGAAGAAGCCACGGGAAAGCATCAGTCAGCTGAGTCAGGAAAAGGCTCATTTGCTGGGGGTGGGTGGGAGGATACTGGCGCACATTGTACGGAAGATGCCCCGGGACAATCAAGAGGCCTGGCCCCTCCATCAGCAGACGGGTACCTATTAATCAGTGCAGCCAAGTGTCTTGTATAAAACAATCTTCCAGCATCAAAAGATCCCATTTTTAAAAAAATATATTTTTAATTTGTTTTTAAATCATCATTAACGACAATGAACATCAAAAGCATTAAACAAGCAGCAGCAAGAGATAAGGATCAAGTCGCATCAAAAGCTTATTATGTAGCAGTAAAAACTATTTTAACATTTTCTGAACATTTATCAACCAATTAGAAAGGGTAAGAAGTGCTGGTAATGATGCTACCTCTGTCAGTAAGGCAGTTGTGAGTACTGGATTAGGTCTGGATCTTAGATGTAAAATATTTTTATATGTAACTCAGTGTGTGCAGTAGAAAGCTAGAGGAAAAGCAAAGAAGAATAAGTAGTGTTAGTGGGAAGAAGTTCAGCTTCTGTCATGTACTGCACCCATGGGAACCATGTGCGTACAAACCTAGAGTAGGTCAGAGTGAGTCAGAGATTTTGCACATAATAAACTGATCCCATACTTTATTTCTCCACATGGTCAGCGTTGGAGGGGAGGTAGACTTCCAGGTGGTAGCTATGACCAAGTGGGCCGCTGCCAGCAAAATTTAGGTAAGTCCGTTGTAGTTGTATTGTGAATCAGGTGTTTCTTGAATTTGGAGTAGGATAACTTCTGGTTTGAGAGGAATTATTTGAGAGGTGATCTTGTTTATTTCTGCTATGACACTAGTAAAGCCTGCATCTTGCCAGATCTTGAATGAGTTTTACTCCATCCCCGGCATGAACCATTGCTGAGAGGTAAATGTGGATAGCGGGGATATTGGAGGAGCTATACACTTGTCTGCGATCCCAAATTTTCAGCATTGTGTATAAGAATGGATTGTGGAGGGTCGACGTGAAGCTGGAATCCAAAAGATTTCTTGGAGTTTAAATGGAGACACGTATGATTGTCTATCTGCACCCATTGTGCTTCCAGTTGTAATTGCGACATTTTAGGAATGTTAGACAGAAGAGCTGCATGGTAATAGGTTTGAAGTCGAGGCATGTTAAGACCTCCCAGTGTCAATGGCTTAAAGAGAGAGTGACTGTCTATATGAGATTTCTTGTAGTTCCATACAAAGCATTGAATCTCTTTCTGCCAGTTATTCAGATCTTTCTCTGGTATGAATATCGGCAGCGTTCTGAAAAGGAATAGAAAGCATGGAAAAACAAATGTTTTAATTAATTGAACACGATCCGCTAAAGAGAGCTTAAGTGCGTTC